CTACTGATCAGACACTGGATAGCCTAGGGAGAGGGACGCAGATCAGAAGCAGGGCTCGAAGGCCATAAGGAGCAGCGAAAACTGCTGAAGCCTAATGATGCTAGCATCCCTACCATAGAAGGAGAAGGAAGGAGAAGAAGGTGAGAAGGCTCTTTGCGCCATCTCAAAAGCAAGGCGCCACGCAGATCACTAGCATTTCTGTCGCACGTCAGAACGCCACCGATTGGACATGCTGCAGTTGCGGGGCCTCGCCGGGCCGCTCCGTCACTTCCTTCATGGCTTCCGTACGACATCAATCAACCCCGAGCTGGCTTCTGCAGAATATAGAGTCCCCTCTGCAGTTTGCGCCCACTTTCAAGTCAGACACAAAAAGTCGCAGCCTAGGATCGTGATAGACTCTCCCGAACAAGAATCGGGTTTGCGGGACGACATGGCCATTCGGGACTACACTAGGGAACTTAGGGAGTCTGGCATGCAGCGGGCATTGAAAGAGCGGGCGTTCTATATTAAACCGAACCAGCGGCGGCGAAAGGAGCGGAGCGATACGACATACCGGATACAGTCGCAGGAGCTGCGCAGGCTGATCAAGTTGGCGATGGCGCGGAAGGAGAGGTGAGGTGCCGGGGCTTGTGTTGTGTTCAAAACAATCAGACATGTGAACTGCCTTTTGAAGCAGCGGGAGACTGTTCTGCCGGTGGTTGTCCATGGCTCTTCAATGCTGGAGAGATGGAACGGAGCTCCACTGATGCTGGGTCGGTGCGGATGATCTGAGAGGCCAGCGCTTCTGCATTTTACTTCGTGAACTGATGAATCTGGTTGGTGGCAGTTCCGACACAAGATGAAATTGAGACTGTACAGTAGTCCGCGAATAGATTTTAAATGCTGGGTTTCAATGAGCACATGGCAGGTCGACGTTGCTCAATACTTTGTGTCTCTTATGCATGCTGTGTGGGTTCGGGATCGACCCGCGTGATCTTTTAAGGTATCTTAACATGCTGTATGCTGTGTTAAATGGTACACATAAAGCCGATATCAGGGGGAAAAGGGATTGCTGCTCTTACAGTCGTGCATTCTGAGAAGAAAGTTGTTACAAAGCAGATTCCCGCAATCGTCTTGTTACTTAAGCTCATTAGATCCTGATGTTCAGATTTTCCCAAGCTAATTGAGCCAGATAATATGTGCGTTATGAGTGGATTATGAGTAAACAACATATCTGCAACATCGAGTTTGTCTTTGCTTCATGTCGCGTCCATTCAGAGTTTGCCTTGTCTGTCCTTTGCAGTGGCTACTGACAACAAGGCATCAACTGCTTGTCCAAGATTCTTCCATCTGAGGAAGGTGCCAACCCCTCGAGAATCATTCCGGCCCACAAACAACCTTTCCCGCTGATTCCAGATCAGCTTCTGAGTCGAAGAGTCCTACTCGACTTGTATTGCAAAGGATGTCCTTGTGAATCTGCAGCTTTCATATTGCAAGAAGGGCCGCTGAATGAGTTTTTGTCCTGTTTCTAGGCTAAATTAGGCCATGGGGGCCCCACATTGGTGTGTAATGCTTCCGTTCAAAGTCCGAAAGTCGAGTCTCTTGAAAAGGATTTCAGATGAAAGGCCGGATCCTTTGTGTATGTTGAGCTGCAGGACACTCTGGAGTGTGCTTATAGATATTGTTCGTGCACTAGTTGGGATGCAAGACGTTTGAGCACCATCGACTACGAACGTACAATGCATGAGCTTCCCTGCTTAAGCGCGATTACATCGTAGTCATGAGTTTTGTAGTCGGATGCACTGACATGTGTCACAACCCATCCCGACAAAACACTCTGGGTGCTGCACTGTAGAGCTTAATCAATTCTGTATGCATGCCGCCGCATGTGCATTCGACTCAGGCGGATCGCTGCACCAATCGTGGGTGCACGTGCATGGTGCAACTGTCAATCTCGCGTGCACATTCAGTCATGAGCTGGGCGCAGCGTGCAGCAACTGTCATGTAAATCGTTGTACATAGTCGCAGCAGCGAGGGAATCAAGACAAGCATGGCTGTGATCATTCGGGCCTCTCCTATAGCGAAGTACACCCATTCCACATGGCACGTACATACAGAATGCAATGATGGTCGCGTGGCAGACACATCATGGTGCCATTAATAGACTCGACTAATCCGGATTGGCGCATGAGACCTGACACTCATAGTTTTAACATGCCCGCATTGGAATGAACCGCTTCGAAGTCGTGATTCCCGAGTGCCTCCTGTAGTTGTCGGCAACTTTTTGCTCGAACTCGTGTTATACACAGACACATTCGGAATGTCTCGGCTCGGCCCTCGGTCGCCCAACGCTGCGTCTGCGCTGCTTGGCGGCCAGCCCTGATCTCGGAGTGCCCACGCTCATCATCGCCTGAGGCGCCTCACCTATCTGACAATGCTGTATATGGGCCGCTTCCCAAAGCATGGGAACTACTTGCCGGGCCTTTCTACTGCATTGAGGCTCTAAAGTTCTGGCGGACGGAGGACCGGCCGACCGCCTAGTTAGGCACACGGCGTATGATTTCTTGTCCCGGGGGTCAATGGATCCGTAAACCGCATCGTACAGCGCTCTGACCTGTTAACGGGAGACCGGACCCCAGGCTCGAGACTGTCGTGTTCAAAATACCTTCGGCCCCCCAGGACAGACGACAGCGCGCACAAAAACGCCCCCCCAAACTCGGCGGCTGCGTGGTTTTACAACCTTCTCGTTGGGGGGGGCGAGGGGGCGCTCATCCGGTCGGCCCACTGCCGTCGTTTCCCCCCGGTATTAGTCCTGGGTATTGTTGCTGCCCAGTATATTGCTGCTGCCCCCCGGGCTGCGCGGACTGGGCCCCGGGGCCTTGTGGAAGGGGTTGGGGGATCGGCATGGGCTGTCCCGGGCCCTGGAAGTGTTGCCCCGCCCCCCCTCCCATTTGCTGCTGACCTAGGACTGGGTAGACCGGTTGCAAGACGGCCCCTGGTTGTCCGCCTGCAAGTCGAAAACGGACGCTTGAGAAACGTCGAGGCAAACGAGGCAAAAGTTTGGAGTTGCTCGTCTTCATCCTGCCCCAAAGGTCAGTGGAAACGAGACGCTGCATCGTCGTCGCCTGTCTTTCCTTCTCTCTCCTATCTTTTGTCGAAGAATCTGAGCATCAGTTAAATCCTGCACTATCCCTTCACATTCAATCGCAAGGCGAATGCAATCTTCTTTCAGCCATGTCCAGGCACTGATTCAGCCCCTCAGAAAGTCATATCAAATGACATCTTGTCAGCCCTCATCGACATTTGACAGACATCTCCAGACATCGCCTGATCACTATCATTCCTTCAGCAACAATCTCACCGACCGACAAGCACGTTGCAATACAATACTGGAAGTCCCTCGCTCTTTTTCATTCTTTTAATCCAACCTTGAACTACCACCCGTTCCGCCACCTCGTCAATCCCCTAAAAACTGTGGCCGTAGGCGTACCTCCTACGAAACCCTGCTGCTGTGGGAACTGCCCAAAGGCAGTGGGGTAGCCACCATATGCGGGACCGCCAGGGGGGTTTTGGAAGCCGGCTGCAGGGCCTGTAATGTAGCCCTGCTGACCGTAGGGGAACTGCAATAAGAGAAACCAATGAACAGGTGGAAGGGGAGGAACTTGATGAGACTTTTGAGAGGGTCATGGCGCCGCTTGCTTGGACCACTTCGCTAGTGAAGATTCAGGCATGCATTCATAGGATGAGATTGAAAATCAATCCACGCTCTGAAGCGGAGAGCAATTCAAAAGTCTTCTAACACGGTATCTTAACGATACCACTTAGCACCACCTATCATGATCACACCGACCATCCAAAACTAGCCTGAGCTGTTCTTATGGTGCCGTTCTTTTGGCCTACCTGTTGTTGTTGGAAACCGTAAGCGCCTGTGCTGTCAAAGTGTGGTTGTGAAAAACTGCATTACAAGAACTTGAGTTAAGCTGTTGTTACTTTTCTCTTGCCAAGCGTCAGAATGGATCTTGACTCCCTGTCGAGTAGACCTTCACTAGCGTCTGTAAATGCAAAACCCAACGTCTCCTGGAGGGTGCTTGCGACAACGCACGGGTCCACAATATGCTCTCAAAAGCACATGTTGCCCTATATGCATCGAAGGGATACATAAACCCATTGTAACAGGACCGGACACTTCCTGACAAGCCCTCCAGAAGATACAAAGCCCTTCTCAGAACGGCTACATGGACAAACCATTTGGTACAAGCTCAATCTGGAAAAGATGATGGCCCCAGAACTGCAGTCATAGCTTCAACGGAAACTTCTCTGTGCTCACCTAAATGGCTGGAAGGCAAAGGGTTGGGGATTTGGGGGGTATGCATAAGGGTTTTGTTGGGGAAAGGAGGGGAAGCCAGGTCCGGCGCCTTGAGGACCTGTAGAGGAAACATCCCATACTTGACAGCTGGCGACAGCTGCAGATGACAGCTGGCAAGAACTTTCAAACATAAGATAGCTGTCTACATACATGAAACCTACGCTTGACTGAGGCAAAACCGACAAACCAATGGAACGCATAGGAGGAATCAATTGATAGACTAGCGTTGGGAAATGGATGGAGATTCAAAAAGAGGATGGAAACTGGGCTGGAGACATGTGGTGAGACTTTGGATTGAGGACGTTTTGTCAGTCCTTCAGTCTTGGCTTGAAATACTGGTTGGTCAAAGGAAACGCAGATGCCAGACCAATCAAGAACCTAGGACAACCTTGCCACAGTTTCTCACATCGACAGCACTCTGAGCTTCAAGTGGGGCGCTTCAGGAACTGTAACAACCCTGAAGATATCTTTCAAAGTCCCTTACGCCCCTGAAGTATGTCTGCATAATCCCTTATGCCCCACACTGAAACTGCCCAAACCTTTACATGGTTTTTTGTCTCTCAGGCTGTTCAAGATGCACGCAGAAGAAGTCCGTTCATTGAATCATGTACTAATGAGGTGAGGGATCTCAACCACCTACCTGCGTCTAATCGAGGCCCCCGGCCCTGCCTGGGTTTCTGTCCTAAGCTGGCTAGATTACAATTTGCTCTCCGTCCATCGATGATGGGGGTGGGGTCTGCACACGCTCGTCTAGCTGACTCCTCATCCTTAAATGTAACCTGCGGAAGAAGCGGTGGGTCAAAGCTGACCACACAATGAGTTCGAATTTCGAAACAAGATACATTGAAAGCCCCAGTTCCCCTTATGAGCTCAAAAGAGAGAGAGAGTCAGCAGATCGTCAAGCGGAACGAAAAATGCAAGGCCAGCATTTTTGTATGCTCTACTACAACACTCAGTTTAAAGTAGAACCGGTATGAAGAAGAAGGGGTTGCTAGAGTAAAGTGGCCTTGAAACTGGTGCAAAATGCTCAAATTGGGCTCTACACACAACACTTCAATCTGAGCCCCGTCGGAACCCACAGAGGGGCTTCTCAAGACATTCCAGCATTTGGGTTGGCTCTGGATGCCCCAATAAAGGCCTGCGCAAAACCCTCACGACCGACGTGGCTACGTTTCAAAACAAAGGCTCTGAGCTGGGCACTCACAAAGCCGTAGCCCTTGGAACGCCCCGTCTGCCTATCTGTAATAACAACGGCCTCGAGGATGTCCCCAAACTGCTCAAAGTACGTCCGCATGGTCTCCCGCCCCGTCTCCCAAGCGAGCCCCCCCACAAAGACTTTTGTGTAGGTTGTGTCCCCGAACGAAGAGCCATGTGCCATTGCTGCATTGGGCGCACCCCCACCCGACTTATTTGCAATGCCGCCCCCCTGCGCTTTACTCGCGGCGCGGGGGCAAGGGAAGAACAGCAGGGCCAGCATGCATTGCACGCTTATTGTGCAGCGAGTAGCCGCTTATTGGCACGCGCTGCAGCTTATTGCACTCGGGGCTTACAATGCCGGCAGCTCACTGGGGCGTTCCGACACTCCTTCAGCTCGTGCCATTAGCCCAGACTAGTTCTCAGACACACTCCCTCGCAATTGCCCAGCTCAATTGCCTGTTTCTTCTTGCTGAAACCACTTTCTGCAGCGCAACCGCAGCCCTCAATGCTTGCTTGCACGAGCAGCCATTGCACAGAACGAAGACAGCTCACGAGTCAAACGCCAGCTAAACCCCTGCTCAGACACCATGAAAACCCTAGGATAGAGCTGGCGACAGTTGCTTGAGCTGGCATTGCAAGTCACTTCTTCCTGTCAATGTCAGCCAATGAGCGCACAGCGTACGTGCCAGTGTGCGCAATGCTGCCCTCGGGAGAAGCTGCCCTGAGTGCTGCCAATGTCGCTTTTGAGATCTCAAATGGATAACGCTCAAGGCTGGTGCCGCAGAAATCCGCTATCCGGTTTGGCCGGCGCACGGATGACGAGAAAAAGATCCGCTTGCATCCTTCCCGACGTATCAGAAGCCTGAATTCCTGTTTGGCCTGCCCGCATGGGAAGCGCTTTTTTGGGGACGAAAACCTAGCCCATCGACGGTGAGTACCCATGGCCTGGAAAACGATCGACGGCTGTGCGTCCACATGCATGACGTGAGCAAGTGGCGTATCGCGCTCTGCCAGCTGGACCCACGCAATCGCATTCATTGCACTTTTCGAGGGTGGATCACGATGGTTTTGAGGGGGTACCGACCTTCAAGCGGAACTTGAATCAACCCTGCTGGCTATTCAGGGCGTCGACGGTTCTACGGCATTATCCTACCCATTCTGCATGCTTCACCGTCGATAGAAGTTTGTGGCCAATCGGACGCTCGAGCGCTTGCGAGCAGATATCAACAGCGCCGTTATGGCTCACACGACGGAGCGCCGTACAGCCGTAGCCCGTGCGGCCATCATGTCATCATGGGCCTGGGCTTCTCGTGACATACAAATGCATGTCGTATACTCGTGCATTGGCACTTCAATACCTATGTTTCCTTCGACCTACGACTAGTCTATTAAAGCCTACTCGCCTACCGACGCTACCGTAGATTCGACTGATTCGCTCGTGTAATTTGGGACATCGCTGACACACATGCGCAATTCGCATGTATGACATAAAAAGGTGCCATCATTATATGGAAGAGCTTAGCTGCTAATGCGACGGTGGGTGGATCAGGAGAATGCTTTTCAATCTGTTTCATATAACGAGTTATGGTCGCGTCGGATTTGAGCCATGCTAATTTGGAGCCATTGGTTAAGTGATCTGAGGCCGGCCGGGCCTAAGGCCCGGTGTCGATCGCGGCATGGGACGTGACATGCAACGACTCCGTTAAAATGCCCCCACATGCAAGCTGGTCACCGGCACGATGTACTCTTATTCCTTTATGTCCTGACCTCGATGCGAAAGTCATCTCTTTGTCATACGATCATTCCCTGAATTACAAGTACGTGTCATGCAATCCTAGATATTCGATTAAGGATCATAAGAGGCTATCCTTTCATCGAATATCGCGCCAGATCTGTACCCGTTAATCCTAGGGTTCTTCCATACTCCCTTTTACATTTTGTAGGAACCAATCTTCCATAGTTCGATGATAAAGCTTGCCTCTTTGTCCGACTGAAATTGGCGCTCCCGAGGCAAGCAACAAAGAAGGTGGTTCCCCTCTGTAACCTTGTAGCCTTTGCCGCATTCGAGATCTATATTGGCGGGTCCTAGGGTAAGAAGGATCCTCACATCTGTCAGATCCGCTCATCTTGACTCTGCCTTCTCAAGAGTCTCCACTTCGTTGCGACGAACTTCCAAATTTCCGGCAACGGCCACTTCGTCCTTCTTGCTGCCACCCCAGGCGTGTCTACATCAATGCACTGTATTCACGCTGATCGGGGCGCTAGGTTTTCTCTTGATCTCAAGGTTTCAGAATTCAAGTACAATCCTGTGATCCTAGCTCGGTCACTACTTAGGGACAAGCGTGCTGACTTTATGGGGTCACGAGGTGTCTTCTGTGGTGCAGGATCCACCGTAAAGTCGCGTGGACACGCTGACCGCAAAGACCGGCCGCGCGCTTGAAAGGTATAACTTTTCAACGCCGGTTTCGACCGACGGATAGAATTGAAACTCTGATCCGACGGTCGAGACTAAGTAAGTAACCCCGGAGTCGAGCGATCGCGTTGACTCTAAAACTTGAGTGCGCTGACTAAGCTTTGCTTAGCGAGCTGCATTGCAGGTTCATACATCTCAACAGTCCTTCTCAGGACTGGTTGACTTTAGGACTTAGGCGAGGCAAGCCTTAGCGAAGGAGCCCTGGACTTCGGTATAAAAGGGCCGACCTTTCTAAGTGAAAGGTCATTCCCATTTATCCAAAGCTCCCAGTTTCCTTGCTTCCCGCTGCCTGCCCTTTGTGCTAAACCAACCACCAAATTCCTTAGGAATTTCTCAACTATTCCGCTGCACGACTCTCGGTCTTTGAGAGTACGTTTCATTGGTATCAGACGGAGTGCACCGTTTTGCTTTATCATTGGTGTCACAAAGCGCGGGCTGCGTTTCGTCACCCGTCGTCGTCCGCTTCTCTGTCGAATGACAACAAGCTCACCGCTCCAGCCTTCGGCTTGTGTTTTCTCTGCGGAAAACAACGGGCTGTTAGTCAGGAAAAGGATGCAAATCTCCTGTGCCCGAATGCAGCCAAAAGTGAACGTGTCACAGTGCGTGTTGCAACGCGCAAGCAGGGCGTTGTACCCAGAAGAATGCCGGAGTCGATTCATGGCTCCAATGGATTCAGCGGACTTGGACCGCCATTGTCGCTCGTAGTCGTATCTACCAGAACATCACAGTCAGCAATGAAACCTGGGACATACGTCGACGAGCGTCGTGAAGGAAGACTTCTCGTGAACCGCTGGATGATGACGCTATTGGGAAGCCTTTTCAGCTTCATAGATCAAGAAACTTACACGGCTCATAAGCTGTTCCCAAGTTGTTCTGCGGCGCCCCAAAAAGCGCACTTCCATTCCCAACAGGGTGTGTACCCGAAAGAACGCATAACAAAGAGAATCCATACTCAACGGAACGACCTCCTGAGTCTGCACGCTTCCCTCTGTGCATGTTGATGCTGAGATGGTCACTTCGCCCTCAGTGGGTACGTTCAGTGGGTACTGCCCCTTCCACTCGACACCACTCGGCTTCGACAAGCAACATGCGCGGTGTGACTTCCGAACCTCCGTGCAGCTGTTCGACAACTTCTATTTGGAAAATCCACGTAGATGAAACGCATCTCAGACGTAAACGCAACGCTTGGCCGCGGAGTTTTGGTGACTGTAACCATCGGCACCCATGTTCTACACAACGGTCTTAATACGCCTTTGATCGCGCCCCTCAGAACACGGAACAGAGTGCCGCTCAAAGAAAACGAAGACTGTCAGAAATTTGAAAGTAAAGAGGCAATTTGATCAACTTTCTGCGCGATCATGCGGTGAGAACGCACCTTCGCCGTCGCTACCGCTCCCGCTTTCTCAGTTCCGCCCTCGGGCGCCTCTTTCCGTTTCCGGAACACCACCTTTCCGGCCTTCGCATCCGCTTCGTCCTGTTCTTTCAGCAGGGCCTCCGCCTGCAAGCGGCTTACGGTAAGTTGGCAAGATATCAAACGTAGACCCACTTTTGGAACCAAGAATCAGCCTTCGCATCCGTGTCGTCTTGTTTCATTAACAGGGCCTCCGCCTGACAGCGGCCCATGGTTAGCAAGGATTAAGCGCTTAACCCAGGCGTAACCCGGATCGAGTAGGTTCGCAGACTTGCGTCGTTTCGCGATTGAGGTAGAGGAAGTCTTGAAATCCGGATGTTGTCACTAGACTAGGTGTTGAGTCTCTTTAAATCGTATTTGGAGCATGCACTAAACTCGATTCACAGAGCTTGAGTCGTCGACGGGACCGTAACGTAGCAAAGCAACCAAGTGCACTGGCTTTCTGGCTGAACTGCATGTTCCGTCTAGTATTTTACACAAGACCCATGCACGACATCTGTTACACGGCCTCGCTCGATCCCAGCCTCGCACGGAGCTCATCAAATCCTTGAGCTGTCCCTAGACTTTTCTCTGTGTCAGCTCCCTAAAGACAGCGCCGGACCTTCGAGTGCGTGATCCATCAACACAGACCGCTTCAAAAGTTGGACTGAAAATCCTCTCTTCCGAAACCGCGAGATCGCACAGACTCGCACGTCCGGATCCAGTTCAAAGGCCTGAACTGTAACGTCCAGCCATCAACACCCTAAGACCGCAGAGAAGCTCTCACGTGTTTCAGACTTTCCCGGAGGGCTTCGTCTTTTGGGGCACCCTTGAGGCCCGCCTTGTATGTGTCGATGGCCTGCGGTCAAAGGGAGGCGTCAGATGCTTAAAACACTGGTTACAGCGAAAACTTCCAACTTCGGTTTCAAAGTGAGGCAAACGAGAGGGCTACGGACGCCTGGCAACGGCAGCTTGTTTGGAAGGAGATGAACGATCAAAGAATGACAGCCGTAAGGCGTACAAATGAGGCGGTTACCATCGGTCTAGTTCCTCAACCTTCAAGAATGCAGAGCCCCCGGAATGGACACATCAATCCGACGATTCTTTGAAACAATCGATCCACAGGAGCCCTTAACGCTTATCAAATTGACCCTTCACCTTAGTAGCGGTCGCTCCATTTGTCCACCTCAATACAGCGACTTGCAGAACGCAAAACATTCCAGCGACTTGCACTGAAAAAGCAGATCTGACGGGGGCCAAAATTCGCCTTTCCAGAGTAGCGAGTTTAGCAGCGCATGGTCGCCAAGAGCTTACCTCAAAGTACTGCTTCAACCCAACTTGCGCGGCGCCCACTCGTGAGTAACCCTTTGGCCAGTCGGGCTTGAGAGAGACCACCTGCAACCGCGTTCCACAGCGTGAGCGCCAGCAGTGTTCCTCGAGACCATTCGAAAAAGACCGCTGAACTAAAGGACGGGTTGAATCTTGAACCCAAGCACCGAAGACCGGTACCTGAACGGCGTTTAACGCAAATAGACTTCTCGTGCTAGTTGCTCCGCACAATCGACGCTGGGCCGTTCCTTCTCAACAATTCTGGGCTTTCGAGGTTCGTCAATGAAGATAAAAGAAGACAGCTAAAGGTGCCAATGAAGCGGTCGTCTGACGGTCAAGGCCGATAGCTCGGCAATGACGCTGTCCCCTCCTGTCACCCAACAGATCTCATGTTTTCAGCGCATTGTTTTGATCTCTGGCTAAGGGTTCTCCGGATCTATCCGGCGCCAGTTGCTAAGCCCCGGAAACAGATTAAGGCACCCGGAACGTGTACAATGTCGTAAACGGCTGTTCAACCGTAGTCCGGCAAAGGCACCAGCTTTCATTCCAGACTCCCAACCTTTGATTCTCTTGGCTTCGACTTACTTCGGTCGGAAACAAAGTCACCACCTTCATCGAACTAGCTGTGCCGGGCTCAGATGAAGAGGTACGGGGAGAAAAAGCTGCCCGGGGTGACGGCAGACAAGTCGTTGAGTGTGTACGACTCAAGCGATAAAGTTTGAAGTGCTGAACCCGATGCACCCACCTTTTGCGCATCCTCCAGGGCGGACTTGTACTCCTTTTTTCCGAGGAAGCACGCCGACCGGTTGCTGTACAAAACGTGGTTGCTGCAAGGGACGAAGCAGGGGCCTGAGGTGCATGTCGAATTGAGCAAGAAGATAGCGCGCAGCCATCCGATTAAGCGAAAGCTGTCTGGGGGACTATGTTCGCGTTGGCTACGTGAGACTGCGCAAGAGAGCGGTTGGAGGACCCAAAATGACGGAGTTTTTGCGACTTTTGATTTTTGATAGTTGGATTCCTGAGGACTCTAGTTGTTACCTTCGATTGCACGTAAGCGACTTCGCGGATAATCCTGCTATCCAGACCAGGAACCAATCGACGCTGTGCCACTTCCGTACTTGAAAACTCAAGTCCAAATTCCGTTGAATACACTAGCTGGCAAGCAATCTTGGCCGTTGAAGCATTTCACGTGTCGGGTAAGGAAGCGTTCGCCACGTCTTAGGCCCCTGACAGATTTTGGGCTTTGAAACATAGGAGCACAGAGAAGACGCCATCACCACGTGACATTAACCGACTAATTACGAACTTTGAGCGATGACTAGGGGCACAGCGGAGCGAAAACAAAAGCAGCATCCGAAGGATGCGCGACCATGCTCAGGCAGCTCACTTTGGCGTCAGGAAGATGGCCCGGTTAAAATGCTGGATCGCTTCGTCGAAGCGGCCCTTTTCGAACGCGGCGTTGCCCTTCTCCTTGCTCTTAGCTGCCTGGAAGAAAAGGGGACGGTAAGAATTGCTCGCAGCGGATCGAGAGCGGATCACCAGCGGAATGATGCGGAAGTCCAGCGGATAGTTGGCCGGACGCACAGCGAATTTCAGGAAGAAGGTCTTGTCAATGCAGCAAGTCGATATCGGACGACAGGCAATTTGCAGCAGATTGAGAGCGCAACAAAAGCGGATCGGCAGCGGAACAGGCACGGGTGAGGAGTGATTGTACTCTCTGCAAAGCGCCAAAGCGCCAAAGGGAAAGCGCCTCTTGTTTGCGAGGCAAAGAGCATCCGCCCTACCTCAAAAACAAGGTGGGAACGTGCCCCAAAAAGAAGGAAAGCAAGGCAAGGTCAAGGCTGAGCACGAATTCGGCGCGTCCGATTGAATCCGAACCATTCAAAAATGGAAACAGAGTAGGAAAGGAAAGCAATGGCCGGTCAGATAAGGTCACACGAGGCTAGTAGCTTAAGGTGTCTTCGAAAGAGAGGGAAATGCCAGATGTTTGTGGAGACGGACCTCCTTTTCCTCCTTGGTGGGGGGGATGACGTCACCATGCTCCTGGCCCTCTTTCCCCTTGCCAAAAGCTTCCGCTCCGCTGACGACCGTGGCGCCTTCCAGCTGCACTGACGGAGAGCGGACTGCGTAAGATCTGTGTGTTCCTGGCCAGAGAGTTTACGTGTCTGTGTAACGCACATGTCTAAAAGGAAGAAAGTGTATTGGCCCTGATTCCGGAACTGCTCAATTCCGGACAGGCAAATACAGAATATTGTGTCGGACGTGATAAAGCAGTCTACCGAGCCACAAACATTTTCACCAGTTCCACTTCCGGATTGTTCGGACGCTATTCCGGACACCGTGTGTCAAGCTACCGACTGAATCTGGAGGTCCGAAAGAAGGGTTTTGCTCTGCCCGTCTCGAATTGCAAACTTCCGGATTAGGGCCGATCCTCTGATATGTTTGAGATTGTAGCAACACAGTTCGTCGACTGGCTGGACGCTTGACGATGTTCGGCTCAGTTGGCAAGCGTTGAAAGAACTTGGGATTACAAGCCTCTTCGCGGCGCTTTCGTTCTGTCGTCTGTCAAACCGCAGAGCTTCCCAAGATCGAAGTCACACTGATCCTAAGATCCCGGGTCACACGGGCTGACCAGCTAATGTCGTTTTGCCATCAAATGCGACTGATAATTGGAACCGGCAACGTCCTTTATAGAACAACGGCTTTGCAGGAATATCAACCAACGAGCTCTCATAAGCATTGTTGACTCTCTCTCGAAAGCGAATGAGAAGAAAAGAAACAAAAGCATGCCGAAAGCGAGCACGCCAAAGAAAAGATGAAGTTAAGAAAGATATTTGTAAGCCCAAGATAGCTATAAGCTCCGACTCAAACTGACAATTCTTAACCCAAAACATAACCTGCTTCACACGCAACCCACCTTAACCCCCACACTAACCCTACCCGTTCCAGTGGGGTTACCTTGTCATTATCTTAGCTTAACCTTATTTTTCTTGAGTTGGTAACGAATAAGTTTCAATGCAGCTCAATGACGCTCACCTCGTCAGGCCAGTCATCGTCGTCGTCCTCCGCTTGGCCAAATGCTTTTCCGGCCTTGTTCTGCACAGCGTAATCTGCGACACGGAGCCAGACAGATACACGAAAGGCTTCTGGAGGTGCGGGGTGATTGCGACGCAGCCAGGCCACACCGCAGAAACTGATGACATCTTCTTCCCCTGATGTTACTGGGCGGAATTTGGTGGAACAACACTTGCCCCGGAATCGTGGGTGCTCCTAATTAACATATAGTGGAAGCAACAAAGTGCTCACTTCGAAAGAAAAGATCACACTTCCACTTGAGTTTGGCTGCCTTCCTTAATATTTAGTTACGGGCTAAACCCTGAATGTTACGTTCTGATCATCTAAGCGCCTTCGTCGAGATCTCGGGTGTTTCACTGGCGGGGATCGTCTTTGTCTTAGGCAGCCCTTGTCTACATAGGGGGACAATGTGTCCGCAAAACTGTGGCTGGGATGGGACAAAGATGCAAGACTTGCGGGTCCCGGAACGGCAGTTCAATAGACATATTGGACTCCAAGCTACGGAGTTCTGAAAGTGCGGGTGGCACCATTTGTCACACGAAAGCATCAACATCGACTGACATCTGTTGGATAACAGGATGTTTCCAGAGAAGAAGAAGGCGCACCTTCCCAGGCCTGTTTGGCCTCATCCTTGAAGCTGTCCTTTTGTATCAGGTGGCTGTATGCCTGCAGACAACGCACAGTCCGCTCATCTCAGAGATGTCAGAGCAACCAGTCTCTTCTGATGCGTTGGGCTAGAGCCCCTGTGCCAGAGCCAAAGGACCCGTCGAAGAAGCTTGTGTGCGTTGCTTTTATCCTCTTTGGTCGAGAAGTTGGGCAAACGAGCAAACTTCCAAATCAGGCAGTTCCCTAGACGGGGGCATGAAGCCCCACATAATTTGCCACATTCTCTATTGTAGTGAGCGTCGTGAAAGTTGCGCCCTTAATCTACCACCACCTATTTATGTTTATCAACCACTCAACGAACCCTGGAGCCAGGCTTCTGAGTTCAACTCGGAAAGCCATTCGGAACTATAAACGGGACTTCAACCTTATTGCCACCCAACTCGAAGCCACTCCTACACAGGCCAAGTAAACCCTTGCAGGAAACCGCCCCGAGCTGCTGTAAAGATTCATTGCAATGACATTGCCAGCTGAACCAGCAACCGAGGTTCCTTCTCCGGCTCTCCAGAGGTTGTTTTTTCAAAGATAAAGACTTTTTGGCACTCACTTGCAGGAACTTTGGAACCTGGCGGACATACACTGGAGCCGGCCCCTTGCTCCTAGGACCCCCCCCAGCATCCCCACCCCCAGTCATCCCCCCGGCCATACTTTCCGCTGTACTGGGGGCACCAAAGCTGAGTCAGATTCCACAAACAGGAAATCAGCTGCCCTGTGATCAAGAAGAACAGCATGTAACACCCTATCTATCCTCCAAAGGAGGGCATCAAACAACGCGTGAGTCCTGGAGGCCCGTGATCACGCCAGGAAGGCCCCAGACATTGGGAGCGAGACGTTCACGGAGCCAAGTCAGGAGACCTGTCGTCAGCAGTCGTCCAAGCTCTTGCAACGGCCGCCCAGCACTCGTACCATTGAATCGTGCTGAATAAGCGCCCGTTTTGATAATCCGCCATTGGCATCTGCCTGATCTCTTCAACTTTGAACTTGAAGCAATGAGGAGGGCACTTAACCCACTACCGGGTCAAGGGTGTTAACTCTGGTTGACCCTGATTTTGATAAAATGAAGACAGCAACTGTAGTCTGTACTGAGCAAGGAAGGGGCAAGGAAGGGCGCCTTTCTGTGCTTACTGTTGTCCAACTTGTTCTTGTTCCCTCGACTAAGGTTCATTTACAGCAATCAAGCTTCTCCCTTATGTTAACTCAGTTCTACACATTCTTCCAGATCTCACGCAACTATTTCTTCTCTGACTCCTCGAGGGGGAAGCCTTTGCGCTAGAAAGCAGGACTTGGTGGCCCAAGCAGACTCAACAGTTGACACCTGGTTGGAAATTGCCTCATCAGGCTCAAAACGAAATTCCACTTTAAACAGGTGAGGCTCCTGCACTCATTGAGAACTTTCTGGTGGTACGAGGAACCATCACAGCGTCACTTTCAATACTTTCTCTTTCACTCTCTACTCAAGTTGCTCCTTGCAATGCTGAACCTGCGCGCTGGGGAGGAGCACTATGCGTGAGTCCTTTCTTTTGTATCTGCTCGATGTTCTGGACTTTTTCCAAACTGTTTGCTCGGTGGTCGTGGCAACATTGACCATTGAGAAATTGTGTGGCACAATGGCAGGAATCAAAGAGTACATTGGCTTGTTTCTGTTGGACGCTTGGCCGGAATTATCACCACTTACGGCAGTGTACAGTGACAACTCTATCTACAATTCAATCATTATCATTTTGCAGCTACGGAGCATGGAAAGCGCAATAGGCCAGCAGCGGGTGTTGGCAGATGGGGATCAAACGGACGCGCCATTAGAGATCCTGAAGCAGGAAAAGTGCCGGCTAGAGAACGCCGTCGTGCATTTGAAGGTAAGCTTTCTAATTTCATTCCAGGGGGCCTTTGATGCTATCTCAAAGGTAACCACAGGCAATCATCGAGGATGGCTTGCCAATCAAGCTTGTCCTCGATCTCGGTTCTTCAAGGTGGAACATATGGTGAGCCTGCCTCAGAACTAAGGGATTTTGTATTTGGTTTCTAGTCCGTCAGGGGCTTTGTGACTTTCTCGCCTGACCAGATTGTGTAAGCGAGTGTCTGTCAGCCAATGTGTTGCGACTCTAGGCAGCTGATGAAATTTGCAGAAGGGGTCAACACGTAATACAAGTGGTTGAGGGCTCAACTTACTGAGCGCCGGGTGTGTCTGCTGGCTGGGTATGAGATCCGTTTGTCAGCGCGTGTGTCTCTCATCCTAGTTCAAGGCCTTGTATACTACAGGGACTTGAACAGGATTTGCTTCGGTTCACCTGGAGATCACCCCGATAGATAAAGCAGAACCTCTTACAACCTGAATCCGTGTCATCAACGCCCGCGCCCGGTCTAATTGTCAACCTTGATGGTGACGACGCCCGTCTTTTTGCAGGCAATACTATGGAACCTGCACTTGAAAAGTCAGGATTATTCTGACGCCAGAGTTCTTACTTAACATGCAGGATTCAAATGTCCAGCTCGAAGAGGCGCTTCGAGAATCTGGACCTGGTAAGAGACCCCTTTCCTCACATCTACTATTCATCGACCGGTTCGTAGTATGACACCGGGTGCCGGGTTCTCGTATCTTTGGGTTAACAAGAAGACAATCCTGTACAAAATCGACGCCAACTTCGTCGAACAAGAGCTGATTACTGTAGATCTCGAGCAATGTGTCTTTCGCGGTCCGTTCCTGCAAGCTTGAAGTGGCGAGTTTAGCAAGTGGACGTCCACATAGCAAGCACAAGATGAGTTTTTGTTTCACGGTTGCAGATGAAGAGTATACGACGGCAGTGTCTGAGAACAAGGTCGTCATCAGGGAGCTCGAACAGAAGATCAAGCAGCTCGAGGAGGACATCAGATTAGCGACGCAACTGTTAGAGTGTGAGATGGAAGACGTCGGAAGCAAACCGGAAAATTCCAGCGACGCTCGGTCGAATGGGACTTGGCTCTAGTAGCGTTCCCACGATTGTGGAGTCCATGCTTCGGTTATGGGAGGTTTACTCAATCGCGAATCATTAGGGAGTGTACATATCAAATTGGGGAGTGTACATATCAAACTCTCAGTTATCTGAGGCTGAACTTGTAAATTGGATCAAGACGGAAATCAGATAGCTCGCAAGCCAAACAGGTCGAGTCAAGATTGCAAGGAAGTTTTGCAAGTGCAGATCTTATATAAGGTAGAGTTGCAGCAAGCAAGAGGAATCATGTTGATTGTCCCTGGACATTGAATGTCCCTGCGAGAATCGAGTCAGCTTTATAGCACCGGTACTTCGTATACAACATGCACGGGCGGCATGGGCGGGTAGAATTGGGCACTTGTGACCACATTAATCGTGTAGTCAACTGTATGCCGCGCAGGCCCGCTTGCGCATCCGAACGTACAAAGCGGTTTTATAGCTAAATCTCCTTGTGATCCAGGTACGTCGCACCATGACCGGCTGAAGCATGATGCTACTGTCTACGATTGTACTGCGAGACCATTTTAGGCCTCTATATACTAGTATATACACTTTCGAGCAAATAGATTTGCCGCCATGATTGAAATATCTCGTGCGCGCACCATGGGCTGGTCAACATCTACATGGTCTCATAATCATAAGTTTGAGACGTACATACGGCCAACTCCAAGCAAGTTGATTGTGCGAGTCAGTTACTTTGACACACTGCACCAGCCGGCAAGCTGCCACAATGCTTGCTGACTGAGCCTTTGGAAAGTCGTCAACCAACGGCTGGAAGCACCTGGACCCTCATACAGAAGGTAGCTGCGCCTATCCGGTGATGTCAATCGGCGCATGGTGGAACGGTGCTGTTCAGGCCACGTGCAGGTTACCGAATGACTGTGCTTTGTCAGTAGAAAATGGAGGGCACCAAGACCACAACGCAAGCGGCAGCGTTGCAAAGCACGCTACCGGTTGTTCGAACATATGTGCAGAAGCTTAGTATATCTTGGACAGCATCATGTTACGGGCTTCTCTCCTTCCCTTTGCTTTAGTATCTGGTCAAACATTTCGTCGTCGTCCATATCTGCAGGAGAAAGAGGTTCCAGATTACGCTCTCTCTGAAACTTGCAACGCTGCATCCTCAGCAGCATCTAGGTAAATCAAACGTACACGCCCACGAAGCAATGCATTGATTCTTGAACCGGATGTTTGGTTTCCTGGAAACCTCTCCGTTAGGAGGAAACAACGCAGAACGCTGACCCTGAACTGCTGTGGAGCGGTTCAATTTTTCGGCATTGAAAACCATGGGTTTTGTGCTTGACGCATGACAAATCCAGCTCCACTCTCCTATGAAAACTTGCCGCCCAAGCTCAAGTGCGATCTCAGTCGATCGGCCGTTCAATGACCCGGGTGCAGCTATCGAACGGCTCAAATTCTGGAACTCGGCCCAGATCGAAAGTCGGGTCAGGCGGCCAGGTTTCGGAAAACCTTAGTCTTGAGATAGAGAAGCAAAGCGGACTGGGAATACCGTTAGAAGCTGTCCCTCGAACCTGCTGGTCTTTGAGCAGATTGCAACGCTTGGAAGCCCCAGACGACCGCCCAATTTGTTGAACTTAAGCTTCGACGGGGTAGCATTTACCACTTCACTTCGTTTCAAAAAGATTCAAAAAGAAGGTAGTCTGCAACGCTGACACCTAATACCCTACAACCCTAAGACCCTAAACCCATAAACCCATAAACCATAAACCCTAAAATCAGATGTAGAGTGAGAACAGCCCACCTTCTTCGTCCGAGTCGTCGAAGTCGAAGTCGTCGCCGTCCTCGTCGCCCTCTTCCGCGTCCAGCTTTGCCCTCTGCAAGCAAAGCGTAACCATTCTTTTCCTCTCTCGTTTTCCTAATCATATTCTTTTGTCCCCTCTTTCCCCGAACGGAGAAAGGTGGGCGCACCTCTACCGGTCGAGGTTCCTTCACAAAGCCATACCGAACAGAAGCAACGCGTATCGTTGGAACATTGTTGGATGTCCAGGGTCGGGGTGGGTTGGTTCGCAGCTTTTAGGGTGTGTCAGGGCGCGGAGCTGTCAAGCTCGCGTTTCAGCACCCGGTTAGTGCTACCCCGCCTCCCAGAGGCGAGCTGAACGTACTCTCACAAAAAGCAGACTTGATGTTACATCGTGCGTCCGACAAGATCTGAGATACTTCTTGGGACGAGTCTTTCTAAATAGATCCCGGGTCACGTCTGTTCGCCGAAGAGCTGGGCTGCGACCCCAGCAGAGATGAAACTCGAAAGCGAACAGAACAGCTGTCTCATCGGCACAAACAAATCGATCGAAGGCACCGGAAAAGCTCTGAGCCGGAACATGAGCTCCCGCCCAATCTACGCTTCCAAAACAGGAACTCAATTCTGCGGAATGCGCAACGCTTCTTGTCTGCGGTACTGACTGAATCCTCTGTCAGAACGATGCGGCAGAAACGAAGGGTTTCGAGAAGACGCACCTGCCCCTTTCCGCTTTCGAACCACTGCTTCCCGCTCATCCGCTTTTCTCGTTGGGCCACTAGTTGAGAGTCCGTCAGCAACCTGCAAAGCAAAAGAACATTGTTTAGCTAACAAAGAAACATAGAAAGAGCATATCAAAAAGGGGTGATGTGCGAACGCCAAATCCCGTAACATTCCGTGTCCCCGCCTCCTGTGCTTCAATCTCCCCAGCCTAACCCTTCCCCCAAAGCTTCCGTGGTCTCGGATCAGCACTCTGTACGTTCGCAATTGATCGATCCGAGGAAGTTCGGGAGTCGATGCCTAAGCTGTGCGAAGAAGATGGGCTGTCCCGACGCACCCGCATGCCAAGATGGCGATCAACAAAAAGCTTCAACACTCTGCTTGCAAGATGAAACTGAAGATAAACGCTATAAGGAGAAGGTGCGGGAAGGATCTTCCAAAACACTCTGCCAATTGTGCAGGCGTTCAGAATTGGAGTCGGATAATGATTCAAGACGGCGGGCTCACTTCGCTTTTTCGAGCGCTATTTCGGCCTCGTACGCGTCTCGCCACGCCCGGAAGTTCTCCACCGTGACCGGCAGGCCGTGCGGTACGATTACCTGTAAAGAGTTGGAAATGGCTCAAAGCAAGCACAATAATCCTCCGGAGACAGCCAAAAACCCTGTGCGGAAGAATCACCTGCAAAGAGTAGGAAAGAGCTCAAAGCAAGTACAGTGATTCTCCGGAAACGGCCGAAAGCATGTTCGGCACGCTGATTTCCGCTCGGACACAGCAATCGTCGATCTGCTCAACGATAAAGGTGCGTACACGTGCTCGTGATCGAGCTTCACTGTAGTGTCGCAGCTCCAGCGTCTGGTCTCGAGGATGACATACTCAACACTCATGTCCAATGTTTGATACCGACACGATTGGTTTTCATTGGCTTTTGCCTGGCGCACCATTCCAAGAACGATTGCACGAGCAGATGGGCTGAGGCGGACAACTATCCGCGGGCGAAGTTTTTCAAGCCCGAAAATGGAAACGTGCAATGCGTGGAGGTCAAAACAAAGCCAACCCGGTCCCGCTCACGAGAGGTAAGCTTTCCGAGCCAGTGCGACGATTCATCTGGTGGATAGCTGCTTCGAAGACCCCGCGTCGAAAAACAATCAAGGTATCCTGCCGAATTTAGCCTACGGAAGACGATGTTTTCCTTAGTCGTGACTCTCTCTCATTCGCAATCTCTTCTTCTCCTCTTCGCCTCATCTCGCGAGCTAGCAAGTCTGAGGACAGAAGCTACTTACGAAAGATCACAATCTTTAGCACTGGACCAAACGGCTTCGCAAGAGCAAGACATGTCCCATTCCAAATAAGACACCTCAAAGAAACAAATAGAGGCCAGGTCGGCAGCATCCCACCTCTTCTACTGGCTCCTTATCTTCCTCTGCATTGGCCTCCTCAGCTCCCGCGACCTTGTCCCTTAACCACTCTTTGGCTGACGTTGCTAGCGTGAACATCATCGACATCCCTAGGTTTTCTTGTACCTGGACAAAGGCGCAATTTGGGGACTTTTGGATTCGCTGGTAAAGAGTGAGAACTTGCGACGAACTAAAGGTTGGTTTGACACATTCCGCCTTATCTTTGCTCGACTGACTTTTGAAGGCTATACCTGGACTGGAACCCCTGCTTTCATTTAGCGAAGATGGCTGCTTCCCGCAAGAGCTGCGACCTTGTCGCTGTGCTTCACGGTCAGGCAACTCATCATTTTGCATTCGCGCACGTTTCATGCAGATCGGATTTCGAGGGCCAATTTGAGAGACAAGACGGTCTCAAGAGGTTTGCGCTTGAAGCGATTGTCGCCTGATTATTCAACGATATGACTCTCCTGGCAACCTTAATTCTCCTGGCAACCTTAACAGAACTTGGCTGAGAAAAACCGGTCGAGCCCCTCACCTCCTCCTCTAGTTTCGCTTTCAATTCGTTGACGTCTTTCGTACTCAACCCCTGAATACTGCAAGTACCGAAGGATGGAAATTGCTTAGGGTCTTGTTAACCCGTTGTTTCCGACCAACGAATTGGCATTGGCATGGAACTAATGGAACGTGCTGAATTCGAGAGCAGCTAGCCTATCAGACGGTCTTATTCGACCCTTGAGAGACTCTCATTGTAAACCGCAATACAGGTTTACCTAGATCATGCCACAACTTTGAACTCTCATCAACCTCTGTAGCCTGGATTAACTCTCATCTAGCATAACCAAAAATGTGGAGGAAGGCAGTACTTTGAAATTCGTCCGTTCCATTTTCAACCATAGCTCACCCTCGGATGTTGAACAGCGGGGGCTCGTCCGGGTAGTTTGGCGTGTGGGCAAAGACCAGCTTTATTCGGACTGCACAAAGCAAAACATTGGGATCAGCAAATCTAGTATTGAACAACCTGTTGGTCTTCCGACTCACTGGGTTTCTGGTGGACACCTTTTGGTCGCGGCAATCATGGTGTTTAGGCTACATGATTCTCCTCAACCGATGCCTAAAGAGGGAGATGATTAGCACAATATACACGAATCGAGAAAGAAATCACCCTTGACGCCTAGAACTCGTCTTTGCTTCAGGGGTGTATCCTAATGGCAGCTCTGGCAAATCAAGCTAAAACCGCTTTTTACGAGGCCAATTTGGCAATATACTCTTACTCATACGGATTGCTGAGAGAACCAGCAAAGGTACGAATGACTGACCTGGCATCTCTGTAAGCTCCTCTTCATCATCCCCCTGCAACAAGATTCTGACTGATGAATAAGAAGATTCATAGGGAGCCTTACACAACCTAAGGTCCCACGCTCTAAGCTCACTTCGACCGGACACAACTCCGCGATCTACAACGGCAGCTTGATGTGTACTTTGGGCCACTACTGCGAGGTCAGAAGATTTGAAAGCAGCACAGTAAGAAATGGATCAACAACCGACGCAGCAATTCAGGGCTTCTTCAGAAAACAGGCCTTTGGTGCGGACATACAACCGCAGGACTTCAGTGTCATAACCACAGGCGGTCACTGGCAGTCCTCACAGAAAATTCACCTGCGGCTTGATGTCAATCTGCCAACACCGCCCGTCCGTCTCCAAGCCCCCGGCCGCTCCATCCTCCAACTCTGTGTTTGCAGCAAGGGTTTGAAGTCAAAGGACCACTCTCTGATTACCAAGCATCCCATACACAACATGATGAACGCGACCATCTTCGCAGCGAACCGACTCTTCTTGAAGAGGTCGAGCCAGCGGGGGCAGCAAAAGCCAAGAATTACAAGCAGCTTTCATTCTGAGCCATCCTCTGTAGTTTGCGGCTTCTTCCGAGCTTTCTTAGTCTTGATAGCGCTTTCACGGCGCCGCTATCGACATGCTGAACGTCTTTATGCGAAACATAGCAGGGAGTCAGAATGGTGCGCACCTGTCAGGTCTTCCATGAGGATCGCTTCCAGCGCCTCAATCTCCATCTCCTGTTCTGCCGCGTAGTCTGCACCCAAGAAACAGGTGACCAAATCAAGCAACTCAATCAATTAGCGCCATGATGAAATGAGTGGTGCAGCTCTAACCGCTAGTTGCCGTGTCTGCCCAAATGTTGCAAACTCTTGGACCTGGCCAACGATTGGGGACGGAGGGCGCCAGGACTGATCAGTATGCATTAAGAACGTCCTTCGACTGCCGCTGACACTCGCATTGGTCTTTTTCAGTCACCAGTTGAATCGATCCATCATCACAATATTGTGACGCCCGTCACGCCATGCAAGGTGGTAATGAGCTGTTGTCCAGGCTGCCTTCTGCTCTTCTGGTGGCGATAGCAGCAACAGCATGTGCTGCATTTCCCTAAGAAAGTCTTACCCGTCATTTTGGCGGGTTTTGCAGCGCGCTGCTCCCCGTGTATATGTCCCCCTCTGCTCTTCAATCAAGAAAAGTTTTCAGTATTTAGAAACCCTTTTGCGGTGATGGGCATTCGAGCTGCTCCGCTCCTCGAGCATGCCCCCTCAGAAGTGCAGTACCTACCAACAACAGCTCAGGTCCGCCTGTGCAGTGCGCAAACTCTACTTCGTCCTTCACCAGCTTCAAGCGCCCATGCCTTTGCTTTGCTGGTCCTGAAATGCAGCACCCTGTGCAGTTTTCATAGCTGCCCCCATAGGCGCCACATTGGACTTGGGTTAACTCTGACCCGTTTCGTAGCCAGTCTATTCTTGCGGAGGTTACCCTAAACCTGTAAAGGTATTTTATTAGGGTTTGCCGAGAATCTGCAATAACTTTAACTTTAAGCTGAGCTCTGGACTAGACTCGGAGTCCCAGCTCTCTGAAGTTTCAGTCTATGAGTAAGACTCTCGTGGCCATCACGTTGGCATGAGAGCACTACGCTAGCTGCTATGTTCACAATGCTGTCTAGTGCAGTCTCTTGCTGTTGAGAGGCTCCATCTTTTCATGTTGCGAGGTGGTCCGAAGTAGGCAGCGGGCTTTTGTGGCTCACACTTGAGGGCGGTGATAGAAAGCATGGCATCTGTAAAGATATCGCCAGCTAGAGCTAGGGCTATCAGCGATCCGCTGCAAGTAGGCAAGACTCGTCTGCAAGCACGTTTCGGTGTGCAGTCAAATTACGGGCCTCAGAGGGGGATTGGAGGCACGTGCCACTTTCAGGTGCCACATGCTATGTATCCACATTCTCGTTACCTTCCACCAAACAAAGCTGTGGAATCTGAAGCTGTACAACTTCCCCTTTATATCAGCTCTGAACATCGCACAGCTAGTCTCCGGCCAAAAAGCCAACCTTATGATCTCAAAAGGTTGCTAGCAAGGTCTCGTGGGGCTTTCGGAGGGCGGCACCAGCAGGATCGAAGCTGCAAGGCTGCGGGGGTTGAACCTGTAAACACAGAGCAAGAGACAGAGCATGTGGAAGGAGAAGAGGGCAATATCTGGCTGCTAAAGGAGTGGAAAATCACAGTGAGTGCCCCCAGGCTTCTTAGCCCCATGGCTGAGTCAACGTAGAAAGGCCAGACAAACATGTCGACAACCCAAGGAACTGTCAGCCCTCAATTCGGAGGAGTGCGCGTTTGTTTGTCATGCTTGGGCCTTCCACTCATCCCTGGTGATAGCTGGTGGTATGGCAGGATTGCAGGCCTAGTGAGACAATACTTGAGCCACCAAACTTAATACTAGCAAGTTTGGCATCCCAGCTTTTGTGTCTCTTTAGCGGAGCCGCAGACCACCCTTCGAGTTCTTGCTTGGGTCCCTTTCTCTCTTGCCTTTCTCCACAGCAACCTAATGTGAGTGGCCAGAACTTTGAATCGTTCAGAAAGTCCGTCACAGACATCCGATCTTCAGCTAACATAGGTTTCAAATCTCATCTGGCATTAGCTCTCACTGAAGAAGAGCTTCTGATTATGGTCCCCGCTTTTGAAGGACCAGCAAATGATCTTAGTCCTCAAGATTGACAAGACAGGCTGTGGTGGCAGCGCAGCGGCTTGTTCTCTTGTGGATCTTATGTTTCGCTTAGCGAGACCTATGTTTCAAAGATCAATTAGCCAGCCAATGTGATGCCTTTGCCGGACGGAGGCCAAGCCCTCCATGCAAGATGCTGCGCTTTCCATTGCTCTCAAGTCGAAGACAGCCACCCATACTTGCCTGGTGAATCGACGATAAGGCACATGTATCAAGCCCAATCTACATCAGTCTTTCACATGTTGCAGATCGATGCGCTTGTCGCTGGACAGCAGATCTGTATCCTCCGGAAAGGTGGGATCCATGAGAGGGCTTTCGCCCTCCCCTCCTCCGAGTTCCTTTTCTTCCCCAGCTTCTTCCACGCCACCCCAAGCATGCTGAAACCCGAGTTTGTGGAGCAACATTCGGCGGTAAGGCAACCTTGAGAGGCCCGTGACGTGTTGTAACCGAGTCTTCTGGCACGATTTGACGAACCTTGGAAACCGTTTGGAAAGGCACTTGCTCTGTGCAACAAATGATCGAGGGCGAGCTTGAATTGGGTATGGAAACTCTTTGCAAGTCTGTAGTATCCATATTTCTAGCATACGACCATGTTCACATGATTTGATATTCCTTTTTGCTCCTTCTTGGCGCCGTCGCATTCTACCCCAGTTAGTTAATGTTTGGGAAAAGCAATAAACATACTCCCGAAATGCAACTCACCTCGTTCTGAGAACCTACACCTTGCCCCCGCAACTGCCTTCCTGTAACTTGCTTCGTTCGACCAGACAAACGACTCTCCACTTTGCCGCACAGTAGCATTCAACGTGTGCAGCTAGTCACGGGCGACTTTAGGGGTCCGCCTCCGGGCTACTCGCCTGATCCCGCTCAGAAGCCGACGGAAATTTGGCTTTGTCAGGCGCTAAAAATCCCTCCGGAACGGCCGTTGGGGGCCGTCGTTGAGATCTCAGCATACGCCCGTTGCACCGGCTTGTGGAGCACCAAGGATCCCGACATTTTGAGCAACCTAAAAGGTGGGAAGCACGTGACCGTTTCTTACAGATTGTGGTGTGCAATTTAACACGAGCCAGGAGTCTGCTTCGCGGCGCCCAGTCGTTGTGAATACCTTTCCCGCCCAACGCAAAAGAAGTTGCACATGAAAAGAGATAGCGAGGTCCTCGGGGTAGGAGAATTGAAACAATAGACTCAAAATTGGGGCATTCTGTCAAGTTGATATCTACAGCTTTGAATAGCTCAGCGAGCTCCCCACGCTTGTAAAAGCATCAGATCAGAATTACGAATGTTTTTCTACAAGACGGCCACCAGTTGCGCAGACGGATCACAAACTCTGCTGCTTCGAGGCGCTCGCAAACGCGAGCTTCAGCAATAGCGCAACCCAATTCATACGTCGCAAAAAAGCCCGATTTGACTAGGGTGCGTCCTACATGAGGCACAAAGAGTGTCTCCGAATTTCGTACCTCGTTCTCCCTTCGCTCCAATCTGTGCTGTCAGCTTTCTGCTCACCTTCAACAAGCAACTAATCTGTCGGACGTAAGCAAGTACGCTAAACTTCAATCAAGATTAGAACACCGTTCGTTTGGCTCCGGCACCATTACGAGATCGAAATTCTTGGATTTTTTGCAGATCTGCACATCTGGTCTGACGAGTTCCTTCACAAGCGGCTCGGCTGGAAGATGGACCGCCCTCTTTCGATTCTCGAGGTAACGTTGACTTCCGCTTCCGGGTCTAAGAGACCATCTTCGATCACGCAGCCGTGGCCATTTTGCACAGGCTTTGGCGAGTCTGCTGTGAGATACGGCGTCTCTACAGGCGATTCGGATGCTGTTAAAAGTCGGTCAGGCCTTCGCGCACAGTCCTACTTCTGCTCGTCATTCACGGGGTGTGCAAGAACGGCAGACAATCCGGATCAAGGTGCCGTCTGTTCCGTAGTTGCGTGCACAACCGCCTCCGATGTTTGGTCTGAGGATTGACTGCATCTACCGCTCTCTTTCTTAAAGTCATAGCTGCTCACATATCGGGCCATGTCCAGGCTTTTTAGACAATATCTCGAAAGCTTTTCGGTGGTCATGAAAAGCGGCAGATTACCTACCATCGAGACCAAGAATGAGGCTTGAAAGCCCGTAATCCCCCTTCCGCAAATCTTGCGTTCCAGAGTCTAGTATATTATATGTCCTAGTCTTGCCCTCTAAACACACTGTTTCTCTGTCTTGTAGCTTCGAGTGACGCCGCTGTTGTGGCCCATCCAACTCGAGTACGCGCAAGAGCATGGCGGCTGCAAAAGCTGGATTCCCCACCACACAGGAACGTTCAACGGACAGATGAGGACTGGCGCGCCGGCACTGAACGACACAGAGTTTGCCGAAGCGCAGCGGCGCTTGCGGGAACGATTAAAGGGCGTCGAAGGGGACTGGCATACCGTCTGAGTTTGGGGTCGATCGCTCTGTAGAATTGCTTTTGGCTACCGTCTGAGCCCGAAGGATGTGTACATATACTTGCAGTAGTTTTAGCAGCGGTTCGGTCGTCTCACAGGTTTCGATGCGTTCGCGAACGAAGGCATCGTAGAAGGAACTTAGTTGGCCTGTAGCATGTGTAATAGCTCAGCGAATATACAGTAGGCGGATGCCACATGCAGGATCTTCAAGAAGAGCAGCTCTGAGCCTAGTCGGCATGTCAGCCCATGCAGGTTGGACGGTCGCACCTGCAGAGGGCCGCACGACTGCTGTACCGTCATGTACGGACACATACTGATAATTGGCCGCATTATACTCAAACAGCTTGCTCAGGCTGTGGATATATAGCTTCTTTTAACCTTAGAAGATTAATCAGCACAAGGCGCATGCAAGAACCTACGTCGTTTGAGCATTCCATTATTATAAGATCGTCGTACGGAGTATCATATGTGCAATCGCATGCATGCATCCGCGACCGGACGGACTTATATAAAAGGCGCGAGAGCTATCATCTAGTAGAAGGTAGCTATACAATCCATGATCAAGCGAGGGCCGGCCAGATGTACAGCGTGCAACCGTAGCCCATGATGCATGCAACCTGACGAACACGGCCGGGCCGCGGCCAGCCTGACAATCGATCAGCATACATATGCACAGATTGTGGCACGATGCAATCGAGCCTGCCCGGCCGATCCTCTGCCAACCAGGCTACAGAATCTAGTTCATGCAATGTATGCCAAAGCATCACCATCGACAATAGTGGGTGCACGCAGATTGAAACCTTCAGGATTTGACTAGCCGTCGTATCTTTCAGAAGAAATCACCTAAGATTCATTTTCCGCATTTTGATTCCAACCTTCTTAGCCCTTCCCTTGCCCAGACTGTCTCTTATTGCGTGCTTTGTGGACAATTCCAAAACCTGTGCTTAGAGCCAATGCTTAAACGTGGCAAACCGTCAGTGGGCCGACGATAGAATGCCCGACAAGTAGTAGCGTACCGCCAGGCGGGAAGCAGCGTGCGTCATGAAAATGGCCCACAGGAAAAGCCCCGCCAACATGAGACCCAGCCTGCGGAAAGCAGAGAAAGCTTGAACATCTTAATCCGGGCCCCGGATCTATCTTTCATCCGGGTCGCAACCAAAACGAGCAGCAGTACCTAATACAGCAACTCTTACAGATTCAAAGAAACCGGCCGGCAAGTGGGTTGACAAGAGGTCAACGATTCCTCGCCAAGCGGCGAAGTCCAACTGGATGACCACAATCTCCCAGAATGTTCCGCACAGAGCCAATTCTGCACTTTTCGCCTTGCGTAACGTTCACCGAACTGACGCCACGCAAGCTCGCAGCCGTTCTACACGTTTCTTTTTTTCCACGAAGCGAAGCGACAAACCGTTTTCAAGAGCCGTAAAAAGTGCGAATCCAAAAAAAGGAGTCTGCTCACTTTGCGAAAAGCGCGTCGACTCCCAGCAACCACGGCAGGCACGGCGCCAAAATGGCCAGCCCCCCCATTCCAAGAACATACCCCGCAGTCTCGGAGTCCCACCCGGCTTGGAGCGGCTCGGGCTTATTCCGACCTGTCAAAACGAAGCAGATCAGCAGAGGAATTTGGAGTCGGGGTTGGAAGTGCGTTAGGACTACCGCCCAGATTCTATAAAGAATTAATGTGCTCCGAAGGCCACTTCCCGGAACGTTGCCTTCTGCCGTCAGTTCCTCTTCTGTCAGAAGAAGGCCCTCTTTGAACCGGTCCAAACACGCAGCTCGACATGGACCGATTATGCTCCAGAAGAGCCTCGTATCCCAGGCTAAACATAAGCACGGGAACCCTTTGATGCATGTGCACCACCTCTGACCGGACCCTCGAGCAGTGCACCACTCATGAGCGGAACCTTAAGCTTTATCTCGGCCGCTCCTTGAGAATCACGCCCGATCACCCAGCATGCATCATCCAGCGCTCCTCATCTGGAACATTCAAAAATGAAGACTGTCAAGTTGCCGCATCCGACAGAGCGGAATCAAGGAGAGTCAGTTGTTTTGGGACCGAGGCTGGGGACCCTGTTGGAAAGGGATAACATGGCTACTTCTAGGGGCCAAAACCTGGGCTAGGGTTCTTTCGACCAGTCATCGTCCAAAACCCCCGGGTCAAAACCCCAACCCCACCACGTCATCCTTTCCAAAACGGTCCCCGGCCTCGGTCCCAGAATAACTGACTTTCCTTGACCCCGCTCCGACACCTTCCGTGGCTGCCATCTCGACGTCTCCCGGCAGATGCGTTTCAAATCGACGGGCATCTCCCGTCAGTCCACGATCCGAAAGGGTCACCTCGCAACGACACGTCGGCCCAGCTCCCTCCCAATTGCGCCCTTCCAGTCACCCAATTCGCAAGCGCAGAATGCGCAAGCACTCCGAATCGGCACATCCAATACCAGATATATCCAGACCTGCACAACGTGTAGGCTCACCTCGCGACGACTCGACGGCCCACCTTCCCCCTGCCCCGTTGGCACCATCTCAATTACCCAAACCGCAAGCGAAGAATGCGCAAGCACTCTTGAACCGGCACCTTCAAAATCAAATTAACTTCAAACCCTGCAGATTTGTAATTGGCTCACCTTGCGACGACTCATCAGCCCGCCTCCCCACCGCCCCAGTGGCGCCCTTCCAGTATCCAAACCGCAAGCGAAGAACGCGCAAGCACTTTTGAATCCGCTTCAAAAACAGGTTAAGTTTGGACCCTGCACAATTGTGATGGCTCACCTCGCGACGACTCGTCGGCCCACCTCCCCGGACCCATTGGCGCCCTTCTATAACCCAAACCGCAAGCGAAGAACGCGCAAGCACTCTCGGCTCGGCACAACTAAAACTTGTTGAGAGAGCTTTGCACATTGGAGAAACAGACTAAGTTCAGACCCTGCACATTTGTGTTAGCTCACCTCTCGACGACTCGTCGGCCCACCTCCCCCCCGCCCCATTGGCGCCCTTTCCAGCCGCCGTGCTCCGCCCCCAGAAGTGCACCGCCTCAAGGTACTTGGCAAAGGCGACGCCAAACACGAAAAAGAGCCACTCATACACCAGCAAAAGGCCCGTCCGGGGGGGCACCTGCAACGAAGAGGGGGTTAACTTTCAGCAGTCTGTCTGAGGTTAAAAATACCTCTTTGGGATTATATAAACTATTCTGGAGACGTAGGTGGCGACACGTAGGGGTTGAAAAAAGAAACAAGAAAAATGAGGTTTCTTGAGAGCAGCTGCTTGTACAGCACGCAGCGGGCCAGTCCAAAGAAAGACCTTCAACTAGGAGGGACATAAGCTTCAGCGCTTTGTTGAAATGCAACGGAAAGGAAACTTCTTTCCGGGGAGGAACAGGTATGGTTCGAGCTTAGCTGCGTGGGCCTTTTCGAAGAAAGTGGAGGACAGGACCGCTAATCTTTATCGTACCTTCTCTTCAACCCGGCAAAGACCGTCAAGCGGGCGACACCTCCAAAGCACGACGGCTCACTTACATCGAGTGAACATCGTCCGACGGACTGTGTTTGAGACACTGTACATTGAAGCGCGAGCGTGCTTGCAATTCCCGCTTTGTCTGGCCCTTGACTCTTCGTACCACCGTTCTTGGACGCAATGACAACCATGAAGCGGCGTGTTTCTTGCGGAACCAGAGTACCAACGCCCGCCACAATCCTGGCGCGCCAAACTCGAGACGCCTTCCTCGTGTGTCACGAACTCCTTTCGAACGCCCTAAAAACCTTGCCACACCTCACACACCACATTCTTTAGACTCTTACACGTCTGTGTCAAACAAAACCGTTCTCCGCCATCTTTTCTCTCACCTGCCGCGGCACCAGGAACGTCGCGGTCCCGAGCGCCAGCAGAACGGCCGAAAAGCACACGGCGACCGACAGGCTCTCCAGGTACGGGGGATGCCCGCCCACAAAGTGGCCCGGCGTCGGCTGTGACGTCATGCTGATGCCGGCGCCCCCGTTGACGGCGCCGTAGAGCGGGAGGCCGCCGGCGGCCTGACGGAAGCGGGCGCGCACGCCGCCGCACAGCTGGCCGCGAGCAACTAGACCGGAGAGGTCGCGGTAGACCTGCGGTTTGGAATTTTAGGGTCTTAAGCTTTGCAGTACTAGGGTCGCGAGATTCAGATTTACTAGGGTCGCTAGATTCGAATCTACGAGGTCCAACCAAAGCGGCGCGGACGCCGTCGCATAGCTGGCCGCGGGCAACTAGGCTGGCGATATCGCGGTAGACCCGCAGGTTGAGGTTTTCAGGTTTTGAGCTTCTGAGCTTGTCGGTACTAGGGTCACTAGATGCAGGATCACAAAGCCCGACGGAAGCGGGCGCGCACACCTGCGCACAGCTGGCCGCGTGAAACTAGACCGGCGAGGTTGCGGTAGACCTGCATTTTGGGGTTCGCAGGATGTTGTAATACTTGAAGATTTTGCGGTGTCAAGGTTGACTACTACTAAAATACTCAAAGTCGGAATGACGAGGCCTGGCCGGAAGCAGGCTGAGAGATTTGATGCACAGCTGACCGGCGAGGTCGCGGTAGACCTGCGCATTGAATTTGAAGGTTTTATGATTTTGCGGTTTTCAGTACTAGGGCTACTAGATTTGAACTGACGAAGACTGAGTAAGCAGGCGTGCATGTCGCTGCCCAGCTCGCCGCGAGCGACCAGACCGGCGAGGTCGCGGTAGACCTGCGTTTTTGGATTTGGGATATTTTGATAGTTAGGGTCTTGGGGTTTAAAGAATGATCGCGATACTGGGGTTTCAGATACGGAGTGACGGGGCCTGGCCGGAAGCAGGCTGAGAGAGTTGATGCACAGCTGGCCGCAAGAATCAGGCCGGCGAGGTTGCATTAGACCTGGTGTGAAAGAGAAGAAAGTGAGAGAGTGTTGGGGTGCAGGTAGTACTAGTCGGTTCTGGACTAATGTCAGAGCGACGAGAACCAGAGCAAAACAATGGCGTTCTGGGTAAGGAGATGAAACGCCTAGTCCGGTACAACAGTGCCGTATAGTTGTGTCTTGAAAGATGGACAGATTCCCGAACGTCGGTGTCTAACGATCAATGCAAACCGACAGACCTCGACAACAGAATTTCGTCTTCAAAGGCCCTTGCTAACAGGCGCAATTCTCAGAAGCCAACGCAAGCATCAAGCTGCCAAACAGCGGTTCGAAGCTGACTTCTGTCCCTTCGCTGTGATCCCAGAGAACGAGAACCGACAAAAGCTTCCCCCACCTGCATTAGCCACTTCCTGCCCAGTAGAATTGACACCAAAAATGGCAGCACGGCCAGCAGCGTGACTGTCCTCGAAACGTGGTGTGTCCACCCGGCGCCCACCCCGGGGATCGATGCCGGCAGCCGCTGCCGATAGGCTTCCCACCGGTCGACCGGGTTGAGAATATAAGCGGTCCACCAGTCCCAGGGTTTGAGGGGGCCAAGCGTAAAGTGGATCACGCGGAGCAGGCTGTCGTCGACCATCCACTGCGGGGGGGTGGAAATGTGGGGTTAAGGTGGGGGGTAGATCGATGCTGCTAGAGACGGGGGGGTGGTGTGATGGGGTGAATAAGGGAGGTAAGGGCTTTAGATGCACGGGGTCAGAAAGCGGCGGGATACTCCTCGGTAATTGTGCTTATAATGGTGGGGCTGAAGGCTCGAGGATGAGGAGGCAGGACTGCGGGCTTCACTTGAAGGCGTCGCAGCGAGCAGTACACAAAAAGGGAGGCATCATAGAAGCGACACGGCGTTGTGCACCTCAACAGCGCACGACAAGCCACCTCTGAGACGCAATCCGCAGTACGCTTTGACAGTGCCATCCGGCTTAGCCCGTTCGATTCAGCACGCAGAAACGGACGTCTCCATTGAAGCTGTGGGCAACTGGCACGTAATATCTACCGCCCATTCCGAACTGCTGCGACCCTGTAGGCCTGTCAACTTAGACCATAGATCTGTTCGCACTTTGAGGCCAATCTCGTACCCCCCACCTTCCTAAAGTTGAGCACGTACAGCCCAACTCCACGTTAAAGCGGGTCGGCAGGCGCTGCATATTCTCTTGCGCATTCCGAGAAGCATGAGGTCCGAACTCATACCAAAGGGTGTGTCTGACTCCACTTGTCAACATTCTAGCACGCTGACCTTGTTTGAGTTCAGCACGTATAGCCCGACGTCCCCGTTGAAGCGCGTGGGCAGGCGGTGCGCCGTCTCGTCGTCCGTCACGGGCCGGAACTCGGGGTCGTACAGCGGCGCGTTGATGAAGTTTCCGTAGTACTCGTTCAAGAAACCTTGATCGCCTGCGGGGTGACGTCAGCGACTATTAGTCAGCAGCGAGTGACGTCAGCAACTTTTCCGCGGGCCACTCGTCGACCTCCAACTTCGCCAATAGAGCCGCATCGACGGCCCACAGGCATGCATCCTCTGAGTCTCTGTCACTAAAGCGGCGCCCGACGGTCCCACGATGACGTGGCAGCGTGCCACATCGCGCAAGAACATCGAGCGCGATGTGAAGAGAGGAGTGAGAAGAAAGAATTTCACCTTCAGTGTTTGACGCATCGTGGCAAACTTCTTTGGCGTGTCTACAAGTGGATTCGTGGAAGGCGACAAAAGGCTACCGATGGAACATGACAGAAGCGGGGAGAAAGAAGCTTTGCTCAAAAGCTCACTTTCGGTGTACGAGGGCATCTTCGGAAACATGTCCAATATGTCTGAAAATAGCTTCTCAAACATCAAAGAACAGATACAGATATAAACCATGTCGACGATTACCTTATTGACAGTAGGAACAAGAAAGCAGCATGAAACAATGGAAGAACGAAGAAAAACAATGCGTTGAAACATGGAAGGATAAGAAGACTATACGAACGCAGCTCACCTCCTGTGTAGGAGGGCGTGGTAGCAATCTTGTCCATCATATCGGCAAACAGCTCCTTGGACGGCTCCACAACCATGAAACCGGAGTTGAGGCGCTCCGAGTGGCGCAGCACCGCACAGAAGCCTTTGCATCCGAACACGTCGTCGATGCTTTTCAGCACGATCGTGTCGGCGTCCAGGTACGTTACTGCACGGTCAAGGCCCCATGTTAGCGGGTTGGAATTACAGAATCCCATTGCATGGCTGTGGGAAGGACGGATTGTCTTTGGGTTTGACTGCCACCAAAGATACGGAATGTTCGAACCTGAGCGATTGAGGCGATGCCTCGACGCCTTAGTATGCCTCTGATCTTTGTTCTGGTCCTGGACAAAAGTATTCTTTTAGCCTAGGAAGGGAGGTCAAGCGGATGGAATTCACACTCCGTTCTTAAGAAGAACTATCAGTTCTTTTCCTCATAGACGTTCAACTCTTTTTAGTATATTCCCCACGCTAGAGTGCTCTGGTACTTAAGGACACCAAGTGGGCCATATCTGTCGCATTCTGCTATATCAGGTCCATGTCAGTGTCTGTACAAGGAAGGTCCTTGTTAAAACGAGATACGGAGTGGGCTTGCGATAAGTATCTGGACATCAATTTCAGTCACACCGCCAGCTGGCGGCCGTTGTGAAAGTCTTCAAACAACTCCAAGAGCAGAAACGACCAAGGAACCTGGAATAATTTACAGCAACAATGAAATTTTGAATCTTTTGCATGACACTTGATTGATCCCGTCGATGCAACACTCTTTTGATAATTGCTGTCTTCAAATACTGCCAAACCTCTCGTTTCCATCAAACTCCAAGCGAAGATCTCCAAAAACAAGCCAGCTGATGCACTCCGGTCAATGTGCACAAGCTGGGACACCCTGCGCCTTGCTCCCGACTTTCTCTTTTAAGAAGTTCGAAGAAAGCTTGGAACTGTATGGCATTCTACCCCGCTCATACTCCACCAGGTTGAAGATCGTCAACTTTGTGTACACGCCCCAGAAGCGCGTCGGGTGCTTGGAGTTTGGGTTTGACAGCAGTTCCACCCGCTTCACAATCCAGCCGTCCGCCTGACAAAAAGGAGGCAGCTTGCTTAGAGCTGGGGCATCACTTTCCTCATCTTTGTCAAACCAATCTGTTGATTTTACCTTCTCAAGGTTCTCTTGCACTCGAGAATCAAGAGCACGAAAGGTGGTTTGCAATCAAAGCAGGCCTATCCATCGCTGGTAAGCCAGGACTTACGAGCGATGGGAGAATCAAGAGCGACGGAAACCACCTCAAGCCCAACAAGCTACAAAGTATACAAAAGGGGTGCATAGCTGTTTACCATTTCAAGTAAGCACAGTCCTCAAACAGCTGAACCTGCATCACCCATTACATTTGTACCACAAGACCAAGAGCCACGATCGGAGATTCAAAAGTGGCACTGATCAAAAACAAGGGATCTGCCACCGACACCGACACTTGAGCTGGTCGCCAATAGTGCGACCCCTTACCTGCAATAGCTCCGCGCCCTTGTCCGTCACTCCCTTTGAAATAAGGGCCACCAGGTCATTCTTAGTTCCACTTTCCCTCAGGCTCTGCCCCAAAACCCTAACCCCCAGCAGAAACTCCTCCGCATACAGGAGGGTCACGTAGGCCTCCTTCGTTCGGTGCTCCGGGATCCGCAGGGTCATTCCAGCTTTGCTGACGTCATTGGGTTCGGGGCGGGCATGTATGAGGGGGGCGATGACGCAGATCACTGCCAATGTAAATAGCTGCCGCACCGGTCTCTGCATCTTGCTTAAGTTGTTTAACTGGCTGCCAGGTTCATGGAAGAAGGACCATCACTTTCTTTTGATTGCTCCAAATCCAGCTGTCAGGAGCTGGAAAGTTAACCACTTTGGAACCACTGTCTGTACAGATTGGACCCAGATATGGAACTCCTTCGAGGCCTTCCTCTGACCGCTTCCTCCAAGGTCGGTCGGACCAGAAAACCTGCGCCGTCCCAAGCTGAAACTTTTCAGTCACAATGAAACTTCTGGTCAGTGCTTGCTTGAAGCAGAACTTTCAAGCTTGGACAGCACACACACGACGTCATGAGACGCTCATCTTTCGAGCTGGATCCTAGTCTTCCTCTCTTCACGAACTTCTTTCAATCTTTATGAGTTTGTCAATTTGCTTTAACATGCGTCAGAGTATTAGACTCTGACCAATGGCAGTAGGTACTAGGTATTACCACAATCCGGTTAACCCTCGACGGCAACCCATAAACGGTGTGTCTGATGGCTGACTTCTGAACGTAACGCAGATCTACAGAGGAGTTTGACATTACAACTGCTGCTCGCTTCCAAGCTTTCAGCTGTTTCAACCCGTCCGGTCAGACGTTAACGAACGGCTGTGTTTGGCATTCCCGCCATTCTTATACAAACAAATGTTTTGACGAACCTGTTGTTTTGCTTTTGAAATTCAGACTCTTGGCCAGTTTGGGGGCGACCATGGGCCCATGCGCAAATCCTTGCTCCAGCCTACCGGTACTGGAGCCATGTATTACCTACCGGGTACCCACTCGAAGTTGTTGAGGAGACATTGAACTTGTTCTCTCTGCACCTACTTTGGCGGCGCGAGCGCGCATATCAGCACACGAAGCGCAAAAGAAGAGCAGCTTGACGAGGACATCAGGGGGCTGAGGGGACCTCTCAGAAAGCTGCTGGGAGGACCAAGGTCAATCTTTCCAAGTTTGAAAATGGCGCCTGCAGGGATCGAAGAGACGCTTGCTGTGATGGGGGATTTGCAGAGGGTCTTTGAGAGCAGGGAAGATGCAGACCGGATCGTAAAGATTCAGAAGAAGTGTGAGGAGGCAATGCAGCTGATCGCATCCAGGGAGAGGCATATGGCGGATGTGCTTGCAGGTAAAGACAGTGCTGCTGATTCTCCTCAAGAAATGGCCAGGCGTTGAAGTCATGATGGCAAAGCAGAGCTGGTCCGAAGAGTCATAGTCAGTTCGATAGGGTCACCAGAATGGGCAAATAACCAGGGCATAAAAGCACATGTAAAGGTCTGGTTGCTGCCAGATAGACTGGTTGATGTGCTTTGAATCATCTCATGAGTGCCCATGCTAGTTTACCTTGTCATGCCATCTTCTCTGACTCAAGTCCAAGCCGAAGATTGCTCTCATATACTCAATCCATATACATTGGAGTGCGCTTGAGCAGAGCGTTATCCTGGCATAGAAGCCCCATAAATATAAGCACCCTAATTTTGTCCCTCGCGCCCCTCTTTGTGCAGAGATGAAAGAACAGCTGCGGGAGGCAGAGAGCCGCGCCACACCCCCGGAGCCAGAGTCGGCGCATGAGGAGCGGGTGGATGCCATCAAGGAGGAGGCACGGCTGGCCTGGCAGAACATCGACCGGCTGCAGCTTGATTTGCAATATCCTCCAGTTACAGGCTCCTCCTTATCAAGAGCATGGTCTATCTTATCACATGGGGGCGCGGCTTGGATAAGGTCCTGCACCTTCCGCCTCGCTCTGTCGCTCAATCTTTTGTTCTGTTGAGAGCATGATTTTCAATTGAGAGCCAGAATGCGCACCTTTTGTTGTTCAGCGATTCGAGTTGTTCGACCAGGATTGCTTTACTTCTGTCGTTTATATCAGGACCTATGCTCTTGAAAGGCCTAAAATGCACCACAAAATTCGGCGCAAAATCAGGGGATGCTCAATTAAAAGGGTGCGTGCTGTCCTTGACCTGCCGGAGCACGCAGCTGGAGCAGTACCGAGAGGGCCTGGACGAGCAGTTCAAGAGCCTGGAGGCCAAGCGGAAGCAGCTGGAGAGCCTGGCCAAAGAGGAGATGCCAAAGACATTGTGAGTATACCTACGACGTCCAGCCCACGCTACTCTTCGGTCAAGACCAGGCCGTATTTGCCAGGAAAGATCACCAAGTATCTAATCAAAGCCCTCTGCTATGTTAAGCATCAACCATGTCCATCATTCCCCATCTTCACTTGAGAACACTCTGTTAGCTCTTGCGCCCTCTTGTGATCAGGTCTTGCTCTGGAAGTTTCGAGTCCGTTTCTTCATCTCCTCCTGACTGCCATTTTACTTGCTGAAGACAAAAAAATATCTTCTGCAGATATGAGATCACTCTTTTCGCGCACATATCTTCCATCACATGGGACTTCGAGGAAAAGGAGCGGGTAAAAGGGTACATCACAAAGATTGAAGAGGGGGACATTCGAAACTTCGACTTCGATACAAAGAAGATCTCTCAGTTCGACCTGACAAATCAGCTGTGGGATTGGATCGGTTAAGTGAAGCTCGAAAGTCGATATTACACATTGTTCAGGGACTGTAGGATAAGTTGTTTCTTAAATGGATGTACATAGAATGGCCGTTGTGTCGGAAAACCGAGCAAGTGCAGAACTATCACGACCAAATTGCGAAAAATAGAAAGCAGGACAAGGTCAACGACCATTGCTTCAGGCAGCGCAATCAGCATGAGCTTTTGAGTACCCAACTGATATACAACTTTCAAGCCTCAACGTTTTGTTCGCTTGTTCAGGGATGCATGGGAAATCTGACAACCATGTGTTGCAGCTCAGCATGTTAGGCCCATAGATCCTCAACGTATATATGACACAAAGTACCGCAGTTGCGATACCACAGGTTTTGACTGTTGGTGACGGCCAGTTTATCTTTGAGGCCGCGCCGGTCATGCTCAGTCAAACATAGTAGAATTGCATATGCAGGGCTTAGCCTGGCGGCACAAAACCGCGTAAGATGCAGGGTGTAATATATAATTGCATGTCGCCTGGTCGGATACTATCTGATGAATGTGGACGTACCAAGTCATGCTTATATGCTGTCTCAGTCGACATATATAATTCGCGTATGTCTAGCTATAGCTATTTGTGCATATATCCTGCTAGTGTACAATTAAATAACAATCATGAGGCTGTAGCCTGCATGCATGCATGAGAGCGTACAAGCTCAACCATACATGAATGGGCGGCTCGATCGTTCAATCCACTCAACTACATACCTATAAAAGCAGCCACGTCATGGATCGATCAAACTCTTGTCCCAGCCACCCAGTCTTTGACATGCCTCGTAGTTGGTGTACACAAGGAATTCGTTGCCTAGCTTCTTCTGATGTTCTGGTCGAAAAACACATGGGCGCATGCCTAAGTATTTCCAGACCCGGTCCCTCTGTACAGCACCTGGAATGACAACAGATAGACTGTGATAAGAGAATTTTGAACAGGTGCTAGCAGACACACTCTTTGGTCGAGGACAACGTTGGACAAGACCGAAACAAACAACTGTCGTATGGAACTTCAGATTTGAAACATAGGACTATGTTTAGGCTGAGACTTCGAAGCAATACGTTTTCCTTCTTTGCAACAAGTGAATGCAGGAAAGAACTGCCCCGTGATTCAGGTCTCCTCGACATTTCGAACCTCCCACCTCTGAGACGTGGGATCCGAAATAACTCTTTCCGTACCTCGAAAGTACATGGCCTGACCCGGTTGTTGAATCGAAACGAAGAAGGAAAGATAAAATTGCGAAATAGGATTACAACAGGACGCGAAGAACGATAGGAGGCTCACCTGTGAGAATGAGTCGTGAAGCATTGGAGCAGGATAGGTACTCGACTGTCTGAGCGGTTTTCTGTATGCACTCGTCACTCTGCAGTAAGAAGACATAAAACAGTTCAGGCCTCCCTCTACCTTTTGAAAATACTTAGCCTTGTTCTGACCTAGATTGAAGGCTCTCAGTCATGCACGCAATTGTTTCCAACCAGTGGGAATGAAACCTGGCCCCGTCAACCTGTGCTACATCTCGAGGAGGAGTCATAAGACAGGCTTTCAACATCATTGCATCAGAAAAGTCTTAAACGAGTACTAACCATAGATATCGGGTGTCTTACCAGGTAGGGAGGGTCAGCCACAACTACTTGGAAGTGCCCCTTTTGCTCCGCTGGCAGTCGCACCGGCTTGTTGTAATCATAGAACGTGAACTGGGACCCAAAACTGCTGAAGCGGTTATCGAACTCGAAGAGATGCACGTTTGCTTCTGGGAAGGAAGCCTGCAGACAAGGCAGCTGAAGTAAGAAGGACGGCGAGCAAGGACAACTTGGACTGTGCCAGGAATATTATGTCAACTTTTAAGGGGGAAGTTGCAGCTTTCTCTTGATGAGTGGCAGTGAAGTAGAGAAAGCTTACAGACAGAAAGATACCTGCTCCTCGCTTCCCCCTTCTTACTTTTGGGGCTGTATGCGCCCCAGCTTCTAGCAAGGCCCTCATGGGTAGATCACAAGACACAAATTATGTTAGCACATAAACAAGCACGCCAAATTACACACTATACTTTTACGTCATCTCCTATTAGCAACTCATGTAATGATGCAGCATCATCGAACTTACTCGAAAGCGAGCTTGACAGCTTTGAGAATCACGAAGTGTGGGTGTTGCTCAAGTAGTTGCACAGCTGATAAAATATGCTAAATCCGCCGCTGCCGCACCTTCAGTTCTCTGAAGAGAGAAGGACACGCCACACAGGCGATTGGCTGCCGGCCCCCGTCGCTTTTCTCAACCACCTCCTCTGCCACTTTGTGTGCAGTCTCTCGGGTGTACCAAAACTGCGACAAGCCCCAGTCCTCTGCAAAGGGGTCCCCCTCGGCATTCTCTGCGGCCTGCTTCTGCTCTGCAAGAAACTCTTGAAGAGCGGCGAGCGTGCTCCCGCTCAACGAGTCGGTCACGTCAAGGGGAGTGTCGTCCTCAGCATCTGGGGGTATACTCAAGGTGGCTGCTCCATCTGCCTGGTTCACCATCTTGATTCTGCTTCGAACTTGACCAAAGCACCCTACAAGATAAAGAATGAAATGCAACGTACTGGCTGGCCTCGTCTCCTGATCATGATGCCAGAATGGTGGCGGAAAGTGAAAAGAAACACCGACAGCGGTCCTTGTCCATGAAGTTGCAGATTGGCACTCATATTAGGGCAAGCCATGCTCGCTTATCAGCAAATGCGTCGTCTTGCGTCGTCTTTATCGCACCTGTTTTGACTTGCAATCAAAGCTTCATCGATTCGATACGCTCCGCATATCGCTTGAGGCTCTGTCGCAATTTGCTCTGGCAAAATGGTATGCGCCCGAATATGATGCAAAACCGTTCAACTTCTGCTTCCTTCCAGGACAAACCTCATTGCACAGCTGGCATCGCACAGCTTGCTCCTCACAACAACTGCACAGCTGGCATGGTCGAAACCAGCCGGGTTGAGGAAGGCGTCAGAAAGCATTGTTTCTCAGGCGACAGAGCAGGGCTGATCGGGGCCTTCCAGAAATGCATCAGGGCTGCAGGCGCTTGACGAAATGGGCGTTGTGCAAATGTTGGACAGTTTCTTTGATAGACCTGTTGTGTGCTTATTTACTTGCAACATCTAATCGGGCCTTGGATCTAGGTGCAACAGTAGGGAACCAAGAGCAGAACAATACAACTGCAGGGCAGCTCTCAAAAGGCGCAAGTTTGGAACACCTTCTTTCATAGGGGGAGTTGGAGAAGATCAGGAGGGGAAGAAGCAATGGGCAATGTTTTTCGGAAGCTCTTGGACCAGCTCTTCGGCAGCACGGAGATGCGGGTGAGGAGTCCGTCTGGAAAGTTGTATGCCTCTTATCTTCAAGGTAGTTTGAGTGAATGTTATGCAGCAATTGTCTCTGAGTTCTCTTTGGCAATTGGGTAGAGAATGGGGGCAGAAGTGACAGCCACTTTGCAACTCTTCCATCTTCTATTGTGACTTGTGAGACACCACGCTCACAGCTTCAAGTCTTGGCCTTGGTGAAGTTTCTCCAAGCACTCCCCTTGAAGTCATTGGGACGTGGAAGTTGTGGACCAAAAGCTCGTTCCGAAGCAAGGCTCCTGAGATGCCTGCACTTGGTACAGGTGGTGCCGGAAGTTGTTGAGAGTGTTTCGCAGAAGCTCATGGCCCCTTTTGATTGACGCACAGGTTGTCATGCTTGGACTGGACGCAGCTGGAAAGACGACCATCCTGTACAAATTGCACATTGGGGAAATACTTTCCACTGTGCCAACAATTGGTGAGCAAAAGCTTGTGGAGAAACAATCTGAGCTGACGAGTTGTAGGAAGCTTGCGACCTTCTCGCTCGCTGCAAACTTGTCAATCAGGGAAGTATCTGCTGAAAGTGCCTCTTTCCCAAACAATTGGTGAAAGGCCATAGCCAAAAGTTGCTCAACCAGTTGGAAAGAGCTGAGTTGTTGTGTCAGAAGCTCGCAACTGAATGGTCAAAACAATCCGCACTTTGCTAATGTTGGTTAAAGTTATAGGATGCCAATTACAGACCCGGTTTTAAATAGTTAGACAAACACCCGAGGTATGATATGGCAATTTGTGTGTCCTAAAGGGGCTTGATTGTAAGCTACTGCCTTCCTTTCCCCATTTTGCCCAATGCTTCATGCTTTCATTAAGCTCCTGGGTGGTATTTCGCAGCTGTTTCACTGGCTAGTCCTGTTGAAGCTGTATGTTTTTGCAGTCTGCAAACGTGACAAGTGGTGTCTAACGTTAACATGATCGAAATCTGACTCGCTCCGCTCGTTTCTGTCCTTGTTCATACCATTTGGACTGTGATTCATTGTCCTCACGCAGACTTCTGCGTCTTCCTGTTGTCGACCTTCTCTTCCCCATTAAGGTTCGGGTGAATTCACAACACTAAGTGGGTTTTCCATTTTTCTCATTGCTTTTACATATCCTGTAGTCTATTGGGGGTGCGGGGAGCGGTGGTCGCAGTGTATTTTGACGCATGATCACGATGGTTCTCATGTTGTGGTTTCCCCCTTGCTCATGATGTACTTTTCATTCTGCAGGTTTCAACGTCGAGAAGGTCCAATACAAAAATGTGCAGTTCACTGTGTGGGTGAGTCGTCTCAGGTGGCATGCTAGTCTGTTCGCTCAGCCCCTTCCTTTCTCGTCAAAGAAATAGAACATTTGAGACCGTCCCCCTATTTCCTGCGTTTCTGGAGAATGCATATGACGAGCTGAGCAGATTCAGCCCGTGCTTAGGCCCGTATTCTCGCTTCTCCCATCGTTTGCTGAACGCTACACACAGCACGATGCTCTGTTTGATAGTCAACAACTCAATTTTTACTTCAGGTGCATCACTTAGTAGCGACGTTTCGAAGTTGAGTTGCTTGGTCATGAAGAGCATTTTACACAATTTTGGACGTCGGTGATTGAGCTTCTGCACACCCAAAGCAGCAAAACAGGCATCGCCACTACCAGAACAGTTCACACTGAAATGATCGAGATTCCCGAAGCAAATGGCCCAAATAGTTAAGATTACCGGCAATATACTTGCATTTCCCCCGTCAATGCCGGAGTGACGCGCTCGCTTTTCTGGCGCAGGACGTGGGTGGGCAAGAGAAGCTGCGGCCACTGTGGCGGCACTACTTTGGGAACACCGATGGGCTGGTGAGAAAACAATCTCCCTCTGTTTCGTTTTTTGATCTGGCTGGGAGTAATGTGGGGCGCAAGCCAAAAGTAACACGATGGTCTACCGAACTGCTCCATTCAGTCGCCTTCTTATTTGGTGAACTGCCTTGAACGAAGGTGCGGTGACGGTGTCCAGTGCCTGCTTCGTGTCGAGGTCTTGAGTCTGGCGTTGATGACAACTCCTATTAGTGTCCGCCTTTTCGAGAAGCTTCGCCGTAGATATCCTATCTCCATTCTTGAGTTGGCGAAGTGGAAGGGTGCAAAAAGGTAAACAAGGTAAGAAGGGGGAGACTGACGATGCCTCTTGCTTTGACGAGTGATCGGCGGTATCCTGGAAGCCGCTTCATAAGGCTCGTGCGTTCTGGGGATCCTCATACTGCGACAAGAAGCTCGTGTGTCTCTCTGCAGATCTACGTCGTCGACTCGCTGGATAAAGAACGAATACACAAGGCAGCGGCTGAGTTTTCGGTGAGACGGAGCGGCTCAATACTGGGCAGAACTTTTCTTTTTGGCGTCCGTGAAGTGGTCGTTTCCCCGAAGTCTCGATCCTGCGGATCGTGTGGGCCTCCTTGGTCACCGTCTGACAAAAGTGGAGCGGTGGCGGTTGCGCACCTGTTTTTAACATGGCTCGGTTCGAGACTAGCCAGTGGAGCGTCTTCTGACCGCCAGACTTCGATGCCCTTTTTGTCGCACTCCTTTTGGATCCGCCCACAGGAGAGTGGGTCCGTCCGAAGAGGATGGAAACTGTCTGCGTGCTGAAGCATGAGGATTGGAACGCTCGAGGGGCCTTCGATTTGCAGCGCCTTTACATTCCCGTCCCTATCGCCTGGTATAAGCACTTCTGAAAGACAGGTTTGCTCAATCAGTAAGGCAGTACGGGGATCGAAGTGGAAGCAGCTTGATACTCTTGGGGCGATGTTCTTGCACTTGACTGTCGCGACCAACTGATTCCTTTTGGCACATTGTGTGCAGACGATAATATCGGATCCGTTGATGAGAAATAGCGCCATCTTAGTGTTTGCCAACAAACAGGACATGGTAAGTTGCCAATCCGCCCGTAAATAGACGTTTGTAAACCCCAACTCTGGATTCTTATTTCTGTTGGCCACAAGGCTTCTTGAGCTTACTCTTGACCCTTCTTTGAAGAGATGCAGCCGCTTTGTCTTTTCAAAACAGGAGCAAACCTGGTGGTTTCAAAGATGGTTGCGACTGGCGAGCCTCTCAAATGAGTGGGGTTCACTTCTGACGAACTTGTTGAATTGCTCTCCTCAGCCGCGATGCATGACGGTCGCTGAGGTAGCGGAGGCGCTCGGTCTTCAAAAGCTGCGGAGTCGGCAATGGCATATACAGGCCACGTGTGCCACGAAAGGGGAGGGTTTGTACGAAGGTCTAGACTGGCTTGCGGCTACTCTGAAAAAGATGCAGTCTGGCGGGGCCCAGACGTCGGTGCCAGCTTGACCCTGCCAGGGTCACCTCTCCTTGTACTTACTAACAAATAGCCAATCATTCTTGGATAGTGTAGCATGTGCTGTAAAATGTGGATGAAACGTACAGTGACAAAGGCTCCAAAGCTGGATACTAATCAGTGAGCATATTCTCGTCTAATGTTGCCCCGAACGGACAGCATCCGATTGGGGTCGTTCGGTGATCTTTGCCGTCGGTAGGGCCGGGGAAGGCGGGCTGCGCAGGCTGCATGCAACAGTGCGTCCCTCATGTGGTTTGGTGGTCATGTCAACCAATTTGAATATGGGGGAGACGGTGTGCAACACCAGTCTATCAGGCGCGTACCTCCACCAGAAACAGACTAAGAATCCCATCTTTCTACGGGATCCTTGGATGCACTTGGAAGCACACGACGGCCGATTTTCGGAGTTCCGTACCCTTATAATGGTTCCCTTTTGCAAACTTAACAATAAGGGCTACCTGGTTTTATCTCCTTCATTCGATGATAACGGCGCAACCATATAAATTTGCTTGATCGCTTTTTAATCAACTTCCACTACTAGTGATTTATCACCGACTTTATTGCTCGATAAAAGGAGGTGGCCCGGGAGCATAACCCGGTCTGTTTTTAAGCATCCTTTGAACCCTCGAGCTAGTGCGGTTCCGAGGGGATTCGCACATGTGTTCTGACACGATGCCTTAGTATCCCAGAATGAGTCTGAAAAGGTCATACACACCTACCTCGCAATTGACATGCATGTCCGCGCCTTGCTTCAACGATCATTCTACAGGTGTGAACCCGTCAGACTGCTGGCATGTGTGCAACACATACGAAGTTGAATCGATGTGCTTCGTGCAGTCCCTATATATGGTAGCTATTAGCTCTGTACGTATTTTTCGGGAAGTCCAAGATATTCTTGAAGCTCTAGAAGACAAAGGTAACCATAGCTTGCCTGCGCCGCACTGCTCGCGCGGCATGAACTGCCATCTGTTGAGCAAGACATTTAGGCAGGAATTTTCTGGCCACTGAATGACATGTTCATATATAGCGGGTGGCAACGGGCTGCATATAGGCCCGAAGAACATTTTGTATTCGGTAAAAGAAAAAGGTTGAAGTCTGACCTGCAATTCCCTCTCCGTAAGCTTCTTGAGTCGAGGCACGGAATGCAATGCATGATGCGTCTCCCATGATGCATCATTGCACTGACCTACAGCCTAACTGAATCGAAGATCGTCAAGCACAATATGATAAATGCTACGAGATTGAAAAACTGTCGTGGATTAATACCCTTGTTCAACCGTACTAGACCTAGACTGTTGCGTTTGGGTTGCTTTCGAACGTCCGGTCTGCGAGAACGCCCATAATTGAACGAGAACAACCCGGTATCAACCGGCCCGGCCTGCTACTAGTAGGCGCGAGGACCTAAGCCGCGCCGGGGACTCAGGCTAACTGCAAAGCACGCGCGCGGCCTTCATTCAGCCATTCCTGTCCGTCCATGAAAAAGCGACTCCGCAGTCGATTTGCCCATCCTTGACTTTCGTGGCGATCTACCGTACGGCCTCTTACAAGTTACTCGCATGGAGTCTGGAGGAGTATACTGGCAACGCTCGCTTGCACTAAGAGCCGCTTGCACTAAGATACATAGCTCCCGGGCATCCAAACGAATAACCCTAACTAAACAAATCACGCGCTCCGCACCCGCACCCACCCTAACCCCCAAACTAACCCCACCCGTCCCCCGGGTGCTTATCGTAGTGCAAGCTGCACTTAGTGCAAGCTAGCGTTACCGGAATTGGAGTCTGCATGGTAC